GACTAAATTTGGTGTAAAGTTATATACACTAAATAATTTAGTCAAATTTTTAATTTAATTTTTTAATGAAGAATTGGAAGGCTAGTATATCACTGTTAAAAACTTATAAGAATAGTCAATATAAATTATATAAATAAAATATATATTATTCTTGATTTATTCTAAATACATTTAAAACATGAATACATATATGTATAAAAAATTTGTAGAAATAAAGTAATATCAATGATAGAAAATCCAAAAACAATAATAATAGTATCTTGGGCCGCAATAATCTTTAGTATAATAAATAAGTCCATTAAATTTGTATGCTATCCATGTTTCCAATCAAACTTTTAAAATTTTCTTATTCATGTTTCCAAACACTTTATTTTTGTACTTCAGCTTTAATAGTATAGATAAATAAATATCTAAAAAGACTTCCCTATGATTTTGACTGGCTATTATTCAACGGCCATTTTCCATCTTACACACCCAACTCGTGTCCTCTGTTTTGTAGTACCAAACTTTGCTTCCCTCTTTTATTCTTCAGATTCTTACCATCCATCCACCAAACTCTTTCTTTGATTCCTTGAACTACTTTTCCCCATATCATCGGGGGAAAAAAGCTTTTGATCCTTTCCTCTGGAAGTAATGGTGGGTGCTCTGTTTGTTGTTGGCTCATCAGTGATGGATTCTCCGAGCACTCCATGTTTATGTCTAAATTCTCACACAAGAAGCTCTCCGAACAAGAAGAAGATCCATGTCACTACAAGAAAGCTAGAGTTAGGAAGCTCATTCACTGGCTCAACCATTGTTTTCAGGCTTTCTTCAAAACGTGTTCCAAGAATTGCGAGTAGGAGGAGCAAGAAGAAGTTCTTGATTGTGAATGAGGACGTTGCTGGGAACTACGATGATACCTTCGGAGATGTCAAAACGGTGAGTACTTTTTTTTTGAATGAACAAAATTGTTAAGCTTATAGCTCTCTCATCACTTTTAATAATTTTGCAGCAACTTATTAATTATTTCACATACAAAGCTGTGAGGACGGTTCTTCATCAGTTATATGAAATGAATCCTCCCCAATACACTTGGTTCTATAAGTAAGTTTTTTTTTATATAATATGGTTTATCTAAGCTCTCTATATATAGGATTAGATTACCAAACACATTTACTTTATCACCATTCTTGTCTTATGGTTTTATGGTGTTATCTTGTGTTTTACAACAGTTACGTAGTATCAAACAGACCAACTGATGGTAAACGTTTCCTACGCAAACTCGGGAAGGTAAACAAAGTTTAGTTTTGTATCATCTAATAATTAGCCTTAGTTGAATAAGTTTAGCTGCTTAATCTTTAGCTATTGGTCTACCACAATTAGCGTAGGACTAAATGTACAGATTGTAGCTCTGGTTAGTTTTGGTTGGATAGCAGTTAGTGAGGGCTGATATTTGTAAGACTTGACTAGGGTGTACTTTAATTAATTGGAAAAGGAATCAGCAGTTTAATAGATTTGGTCTTATCATTTATCAGGGCCGGCCCTAAAATTTCGGGGGCCTGAAACAAAATAGAAAACGGAGGCCAATATACAACATCACAAAAAATAACAGAAACAAACTTGTAAAAATACTTTCAAATATAAAGTACTAATAAGACACAAGTTTCCTCACAGAAAAAAAACAGTTGTCTACATTTTTTGATACAAATTTAAAATGAGATGTATATGATTATTAAAATTTTATATATATAATATATAATTGGATTTTTATTTTTTGGGGGCCTATAAAATTGGGGGCCAATTGCAAATGTTTCATGAGGCAGTGCTCTGGGCCGGACCTGTCATTTATCAAACTCTATGTTGTGGTATATTATTGGTTGATTAAGCCTTGTTTAGACCTTGGCATGAAACATAATCAACATGGCTAGAGAGTAGATGAGTACTTTTGTGTGTTTATCATCTTGTCTCAACTGACTTGTAGGAGAGTCAAGAGCTTGCAGAAAGAGTTATGATCACTCGTCTTCACTTATATGGCAAGTGGATCAAGGTAAAACCAAGTTTAAATCTTCCATATTCTGTCAGAAAATATTCAAAACTAATGGTGTTACTTGTTGTAGAAATGTGACCATGGGAAGATATACCAAGATATATCAGATGAGAACTTGGCGTTGATGCGTGAACGACTAATGGAGACGGTGATATGGCCTTCTGATGACTCAAACTCAGAGGTTATTGGCTGAAGAAAGATATGTCACATCATCTCCTTTGTGAATTCGCTTCTTTTTAGGACTTGATCAGCTTTCCTTTTAGTTTGATTACTTAAAAAATAGAGCAATGTTCATATTCTTGACATGCAAACTATATAACATGATCAAGATCCAAGTCTTTCAACTCCTATCTATATATTGATTAAGATTTAAAAAAAAAACAGAAAGTGAAAATTTCTAGTCTTTGTCTAAATAACTCCATGACCTGATTCTATTAGAAGCTCTTAAAGGTCATATAACAAAGCGGTATGTGACATAACGACCAGATGTTTCGCTATTGCGTATGATCTTCACGACTTCTCCACGTTTTAGCCCATAGTATTTAGCAATAGGATCCGTATACTGAATACGTGGAAGCTATCAAAAACAATCCCACCACAAGTGAGTAAAAAAAAAACAAACATTGTTAAAAAAAAAACTAGCATTGTTTAGACAAAGATACCTGATTCTCTTTTACAGTGTATTTCTCCAACAAAGCCATCTTCTCCTCAGCTGTTAGAGCTATATGATCCGGAACAAAAGCATGTTCCTTTACGTTCATTAAAAGCTCTGTCTCCTGGCACAGGAACATGAGCTTTTAAGAGTATGTTTTGAGAGAAAGACACGGTGGATTAATAATCTTTATAATATAAACCTTCACTTACCTTAAAAACTTCCACGTAAAGTTTTAGTTTGGAGTTTGCGTCTGTTATGGCAGCTTGACCGAAACGGTTTATCTCTTCCTTCACAACAAGAATTGCTCTGAAGACTTTCTGAGATTCCATACGCTCAAAGCAAGCCTTGATTTCGTCTATTTTAACTTTTGCTTCTTGTAGGAAAAAGACAAAGATCTAACCATAACACCACAAGGAACGAACTCGAGCATTAATTAGAAGGATTGAAATAAAATAATACACTTAAAAACAAAAACTCGTAGCCTTAGTTAGATGCAGTTTTTCACAAACCTTATCAGAGTCATTGTTCTTCTTAGTCTTGAGAATAAGAAGATCTTTTCTTTCCATGTTCTCGCCGTATTTGTCGATAAACTGATCATGTGTCATCTCAAGTTCAGAATCAGTGACAATGTAACCACGATCTTTGAGCATATGGCTAAGGGTTTTATTGACTCTGAAAAGTTTTCTGATTTCTTCGTCTGATAAAGTCATCGATTTTATAGCAAAAAATTCTGCAAAAATTCATATATAAACTATCAAACCAAAGATAAGACAAAAAGATGTGGAAAGTTAGACTGATACAAAATAATACAAAACCATGTCTTATTATGGGTCTTCAATGTTCTGAACAGAACCATAAACAACAGTTCCTTGTAAAAAAAGCACTTAAACTGTGCAAAAAACCTAAGAGGTGCACATGTAATTTAATGATGTACACAGCTCTTAATTTATATATGTGTTCCAATCATTACATCCTAGAATTTGAAGGAGATAAAAGTCTAATCCATGGCGATACTTGCGAGAATAAAACAATTCAACCAAGTAGAGACGAGGAAAGAGATAAACAAGTTTTCACGTACCAGAAAGAAGTTAGAGAGCAATAATGAATGTGTCTGATAGATTCCGAAGGTTTTTTTTATTTATTTTGTTGGTGAGCCGCGAAGATTTCGGTAGGGTTTCACTTTACGGAAGGAAAAGAAAAGTAGAGACCAAGCTAACGCTTTTATAACCTTTTCTTTTTAATTACAAAGAGCTTTGGTCCCTTTATTTAGTAAGGAAAGTTTACATAAAATTAATAAACATATCTAGTTAGAGCATATATATTTATGAACCTTGGGGTTCATAAAAATATTTTTTTTATTTAATTTTTTTCATTTTTTCTGTATGATATTTCTTTTTTTTAAAAAAAAAATTAGCAGACCAATCATAAACCACCACATGGTGTGAGGTCCACACAAAAAATTGTGAACCAGTTCACGTCAGAAACATTTTGTGATTCGAGTTCATTTATTTTACATTATTTTAATATTTTTTCTTCTCGAAAATCGTATGAACTTTAGAGACATTTTATCATTCCAGTTCATTAGTTTTACATTATTTTAATATTTTTTATTCTCAAAAATCGTAGGAACTTTTGTCATGTACTTTCAGTGTACATGGTCTTAGATCTTAGGGTTACTCGTATTCATATCTATAACTTTACGAATTAAATCAATTATTAATAGTTTAGTATTCATAATATTTCTTTTTGGGGCAGACGCTTAAAATACTACTAGTTAATCCAAAATACAGTAGGATTCAGTCTTTGGATATCAACAGCAAAAATCTCTTTTATCACTCTTTACTATATCGATTGCAACATGTTCTCTCTCTTGTCCAAATCACATTTATCTGGCCAGTATACAATGCCGAGACATGCTTCATATGTTTGTTGTTGGTGAAGAAATGTTGACCCCCAAATACTTGTCTAGTACATTCTTAAAGGCCTGTATATAACAAACATTTATAGAATTCTATGTTCATTGCACTTTGATGATTTTCTGCATCAACTATTCAGATAAAGTTATGCTACAGAACATACCTGAAACGCAAAAGCCTCTTTCCTAGTTAAAATTATATCCATTGCAGCTGATTCATCATCGAATGCACCATAAAATTCCCGATAGAACTGGCTCCTAGGTTAACCAAAAGGGGAGAAGGAAGTCAAGTAACAAGTTACTCTTCAGGTTTCATAGTATGTAAATAAACCACAAAAATAATGTTTCAGAACAAACCTATCTTCTTCACCACTCTGTTGGTCAATCTCATCAAACTTCTGTGTTAGGACTTCCGCAGCAACAGGTGAGAGCATGTGCAGTATTAACGCTTCTAAGGTTCTTGGGAAATAACGCTGTAATGAGTTACATGATAGAAGCACGTTAGTTCAAAGAATTTCATGTTAAAACTCCATGTAAAGCAAAAAAAAAATTCTCCATTTAGACCAAAATGATGAAGTGCCCTAGAAGCACTTATTGAAACCTACCGCCATTGCAAGAAGAACATCCCGAAGATTAGATGCTTCAAGATTCCAAAACATATGGGCAACACGATCATCTTCTAAACAAGACAATGCATTTTCCTGGATCTTGCTGTTGTCCCTCCCTGAAGCTAAGTCTGAAGAGCTGGGTGATGTGTGCTGCAGTCCCCTACTTGTACCAACAGCATTAACGTGGTCATGGACTAAGGAAATAAGGTCATGAAGTGCCTGGGAAGCAGAAGGATCTAGATCATGCAGCGGTGTTTTCTCACGTAACGTGCTGATGCCTTTTTCAATGCTTTGATTGCTCGAGTTACCATCCCCACCTTCTGCAATGATTTCATTACCTGACAAGTCAGACAAGCCATTGAAGGTTTTCTCAGGATTTACACCATCAGGGTCTTATTACCTTCCTGCCCAATCTGACATTGGTCAATATGCTCAGACGGTTGCTTCAAATCAGTTGAAGACGGCTTCGAAACCAATAGGCTCTGTCAATATCCAATCGCACGGTAAATAGAGGGGTAGTAAACTTGGAAAAATGCAAGTAAAGGTGAGTAGACGAACCTACATTTTAAAACTCAAATCAGGATGAGTAAAGAAACTATCATAATTTCAACAACTATTTTTACTGATGAGACAGAATAACTTACACACCATTTCTCTGTCTATCAATCTTATTATATGACCCAAGATGCATGCACATGGAAAAAAAACAGAGGTTAAGAAACAAAACAAAAACGGTAATGCAGAAAGATCTCTTTACATGAATCCAAAATTTATAACCAAACCTTCTCGTAATCCGGCGCAGATAATATGAATCCATATGTTCCGGCATGTTAGACATAATATTTGATTGCCACCAAAAGTTGACAGCAATGGTCAGCTCGTCACTATCCACCTGATGAAACCTGCATAAAGTAAGATGATACTTAATCTGATATAATTCATTAATTTTCTACTGAATGTTCTCACATCAACTTAAGAAAAGTCTCAAAGCTTCAATACTTAAAATTCTATTAAAAGGTGCTCCTCTTAACCAAAGAAGTGTCATTTTCATTAGCATGATAGTAAGCCAGCTAACAAAAATACATGTCAAGCATCTTTGTTTGTGTCTAGAATTAAAACCTCAAGGACCCATGTCAACAAGCATCTGGGTCAGAGGCTCTAGGAATATGCATGCTACATAACATGAGCTATACACACCTACGGACTAGACAGATGCCAATAATTCAGGCGGAGACACTTAGAGATTTCTTTTGCATACGTTACTGGAGTATCTAAAATTCTAGAATAAAGCCTCAGCCACAAAATCTATGTAACAGGACATGATGGCTACAAGTGATTAGGAAAAGACTTCGACACATATGATGCAGGACCTCTCAGAAGTTAGAAGACATTTTTTAGCAATTTCAGCTTATTCTGAAACACAAAGCTATGTGCTTCTAGGAGAGTTTTTTCTGAGAAAATATGAGTATACTCACCAACCTTCGGGAATGAATACTGCATCCCCAGCGTTAAGAGTAACTTCCTGTGACTGCTTGATAGAATGCTCTGCTCTTGGATAATCTGATAAATTCGGACTGTCTAGACCAACCGAACTACATGAATAGGAAACATAATATGCAATGAAAAATCTAGTATATAGTTATTTACATAAAACATCACTGTGCGTGCTCAGGATATAACCACAAAAATGCACGGAAAGGCCAAGAATGATACCTATGGTTTGACGCTTCTCCGTATATAGGCATTGGATAGAGCGAGGGACTAGCGGAAGGGGGCCACAAGACAACTGTTGATGATTTGAAAAGGTTGAAATTGATTTAGATGAAAGAAAGCATACAACAAAATAATTAGATCATTACATCAACCAATATTTAGGATAAACCTTAGACTGACTCCAAACTAACTGATTTAACATCCTATAAAACCACATTCCTTAAATGTCAGTGAAGCAATTTCCACTTTACATGGAGTCATGGACCATACATTATCAATTTGATTCCACTAAGAAACAGAAAAAACTTCCGAGTAGCTTGGAGGAAAGCAATGTGTTTAACCTTTTTTACACCCTGAGACTACGCATAAGAGGTTATGATGTGGATCATAGTGGGTACTTGATCGAGCTTGTGCAGAATTCATCCAAAAGTTTATAGAAGACAGTGACTTCTCCCCTAATAGTGTGGGCTACATCAATTCAATTCAGTTAGTAGATGTTAAGAAAATTCATGTCAGCACAAAACAAGAGCTGAATACATACCGTCTGAATGTCTTGTCTCAAAATCTTGAGTTGAACTTTCTCTTCTTTCTCATCATTCAGAATTGGAAACTGGACAAAAAACACACATACATGTGGCTTGTTCAATCAAACAAAGTGAATTTTCTGAAACGATACGTCATTAACAAGAGCAACCAAATTCATAAACCACCAGAAGCTCAACTACAAAAAGCTGTAAAAAAGCATACAACAAATAATTATAAAAAAGCATAAACCACCAGAAGATCATAAGAACCTGTGCTAGGTATATTTGTCCAGGCACAGGATCCTGAGGCATAGAGCAATCATGCAAAGGAGTTAGAGAAACAGACTTTGCATCAACACCAGAACCATTCCTTTTGCTTATCATATGCTGCTTGCAGAGTTTAATAAAATCAGAGAAATGCATTGATACCTAAAAAGGACAAACAAGAAACATATAAACTCTTGTGGTGAAAAGCAAAAAAACAGAAAAAACTAGAGACTATCCATCTAATACCCTCTCATGACTTCTGATATCACCATTGAAAATCGGAGCAGTCCTTGAAAACATCGCCTCCACCTCAACTGAACCTGCACGTTCCTAATCGTATAATTCCAATTCACACCGCATGAGATTTTGCAACAATCTTCGATATAATCTGGAGTGAGAGTATAAGCAAAACACACCTCGAGATAATCGAGGCCGTTGTTGAACGGATTCCAGTTTGAATAGGCGTCCCAGTCACTAGCGCATCGTCGGAAAACCTACAACAGAAGAAGACGAGATTAAGATTAGAGGATCGGATTCAGCGGGAGGGAGGGAGGGAGGAAGAGAGAGATGTGTTCAGGTGAAAGTGTACCGCAGGGAAGTTTGTGAGCTCGACGCCGGACTCGAATTCGGCGGCGGAAGGAGCTCTCTCGAAGGTTTGAATCGTCGGAAACTCGTATCCCGTCGCCATATGACGGTGGTGATTCCTCAAATCGCTTAACTGTTGGATCACTCCTAAAACGTTTACAGACGGTTACAGTGTTAGCGTTGACGGTTGCGACTAGCTGCGGACTCGGTTAATTTGGGTCGGATATTTTAGGTTTCGGTTAGTTCGGTACAAAGTAAATCGAAATAAAATCAATTCGGTTTGATTTTAGTTGAATTCCAGTTTTTAATTTCATTTTATCTAGTTTTTGGTTAATTCCGATTTCTTAATTCGGTTCAAAATCCGCAAGCTAGTTGCGAGGGCTGTGTAATTGTTGTTCTTACAAATTTATTCTTCACGGTGGAACTAAAATTTTACAAAAGGTAAAAAAAAAAGAGTTATTTCTTTTATCCTCTCTAGATGATGATAAACACATCTTTGGTAAAAGCAATTTGGTCAAGGTGCTATTACTGTGTGTTGTCTTAAGTGTTTGTACTTCTGTTCAATCGTTGAAGAGTCTCCAGCTTTCTCCAAAGTCTTTAGACTAGACAAGCTTCAGAGCTTCCACCCTTCTGCTAAAGCTCCATCCATCTTCCACACAGAGCAAACATAAATTCCTCTGTTGCCTCTGAAATGATGCATTACGGATTTTAACCTGAGAAGGAACATTAAATAATCACTTCTATGTAAACTAATGGGAGTCATAAACCAGAAAGTATATACATAAGAGTTTTCGACATAACGATTCAAATATTATGATGGTTACTAGAAACAGGGAAAAGCTAAGCATGTTATTCATGAACTCTGTTTTATACATGATCACAGCCTATTGAAAAGAAAAGGGGACAACCATACCCTTGTGACATCTTTTTTCTTGAAGACGAAGGACATCACATGGTAACTACATGTCATCATGCACCTACATAAACAAAACCTCACAGTAACAATGAAAACTAAGTGTTTGCTAGTTAAAATGGATGTAGAGATCTTTAGCCAGATATAGTAATAGGATTACCACAAGCACACGATTGAGAGATTAGAGTATGAGTAATGAAAGTTCTTAGCGGAATTAAGAAAATGTTATTTAGTTTTAAAAAAAAAATTAGAAAATGATTCTTAGATAAGACATTTAAGAGTTGGTTTCTTAACCATTTTATTAAAAAGTAAGAGATTTTCTTAATTTCGCTAAGAGCATATTTAACCCCACTCCACAGTTTAGTGTAAGATGAAGTGAAAAGTGGAAAGATAAACAAACAAAAAAGTGATTAAACGTTTTTTTTGTTCATCACTCTATTTTTCATTCTATTTTACAGTAATGAGATTGAAAATCTCTAAGAACCCATCTTTAAAAATTCCGCATTAATCATGCTCTAACTTGTAACAAACAATTTCATAATATATTTATACTTTTTTCTAGTTATAAGGACAAATTTCTTAGGACTGAGCAAAAAACCTGAATAGATCCGAACCCGTAACCGAACCCATAAAAATCTGAACCGAACCGAACCGAAATTTTAAAATATCCGGATGGGGTTAAAATTTGTCAATCCAAAAATTGGAAACTCGAATAAATTCGATCCGAACCCGAATGAGTACCCAAACACCTACCCCTAAAATTTCTAATTTAATAATGGGCTAATCCCGCGGCCCACAGCAGCCACCACCTCATAACACGAATAGTTAAACAAATATGGAAATAAAATAATTAAAAAAAAAAAACAATTATCCCTTCAGAAACCTCATCTCCTCTCTCTCTAGACTTGCATCATCAGGGGAGAGAGATAGATAGCTTTTCAACCCTAGCATTTCCCGCCGCCACCACCACCACACCATGTCTTCCGATCAGCTTCATCAACAAGCGCAACTCTCAATGATCCTCGGCTCCGAAACGGCGCCGTTCGAGACACTCATCTCCCACCTCATGTCCTCTTCCAACGAGCAACGCTCCTCCGCCGAAGCTCTCTTCAACCTCGCCAAGCAAACCAATCCCGACACCTTATCCTTGAAGCTCGCTCACCTCCTCCAGCTCTCTCCCCACCCCGAAGGCCGCGCCATGGCCGCCGTCCTCCTCCGCAAGCTCCTCACGCGCGACGACGCTTACCTGTGGCCGCGCCTCTCCCTCCCTACTCAATCCTCGCTAAAGTCGTCGATGCTGTCTTGCATCCAGCGCGAGGAGACGAAATCGATCTCCAAGAAGATCTGCGATACGGTCTCCGAGCTCGCCTCGGGGATTTTAGCGGAGAACGGGTGGCCTGAGTTGATTCCGTTTGTTTTCCAGTGTGTGTCCTCTGATTCGTCTAAATTGCAGGAATCCGCGTTTTTAATATTGGCGCAGTTGTCGCAGTACGTTGGGGAGACGTTGACTCCTCACATAAAGCATCTACACGGAGTCTTCCTCCAGTGTTTGAGTAGTGAGTCCGTTAGCTCGGACGTTAAAATCGCAGCTCTCAACGCCGTGATCAGTTTCGTTCAGTGTTTAACTAACTCTAATGAGCGTGATAGGTTCCAAGACGTGTTGCCTGCGATGATCAGGACGTTGACTGAGTCTCTAAACAACGGGAACGAAGTAACGGCTCAGGAGGCGTTAGAGCTTTTGATTGAATTGGCTGGGACTGAGCCACGGTTCCTTAGACGGCAGCTTGTTGATATCGTTGGCTCCATGCTTCAGATCGCGGAGGCTGAGTCTCTCGAGGAGAGTACGCGGCATCTCGCGGTTGAGTTTTTGGTGACTCTGGCTGAGGCGCGTGAGCGTGCTCCTGGGATGGTTAGGAAGCTGCCTCAGTTTATTGACAGGTTGTTTGCGGTTCTTATGAAGATGCTTGAGGATATTGAGGACGATCCTGCTTGGTATAGCGCTGAGACTGAGGATGAGGATGCTGGTGAGACGAGTAACTATAGCATGGGTCAAGAGTGTTTGGATCGGTTAGCGATTGCTTTGGGAGGGAATACTATTGTTCCTGTTGCGTATCACCAGTTTTCTGCTTACTTGGTTGCGTCTGAGTGGCAGAAACACCACGCTTCTTTGATTGCGCTTGCTCAGATTGCTGAAGGTTGCTCAAAGGTAAAAGTTTGGCAACTGTAGGGTTTGCTTTCAGTCGCATTTTAAATCATGATTTATTTTCTGGCGAGGACTTGGAAAGGATTTTACATTGTTTATCTTGAATATAATGTAGGTGATGATAAAAAATCTAGAGCAAGTGGTGTCCATGGTTTTGAGCCAATTTCAAAGTCCTCATCCTCGGGTAAGGTGGGCAGCCATAAATGCGATTGGACAATTGTCTACAGATTTGGGTCCAGATTTGCAGAATCAACATCACCAAACAGTGCTCCCTGCACTTGCTGCTTCTATGGATGATCTTCAGAATCCACGAGTGCAGGTCAGATCCCCGCTAGTCCTTTAAATCTGTATATATAACTTTCCAACACTCACTAAAGCAATATCTTGTGACCTCATGTAGGCTCATGCTGCTTCAGCAGTACTCAACTTCAGTGAAAATTGTACACCTGAAGTATTGGCACCTTATTTAGACGGAATAGTGAGCAAGTTACTTGTGCTACTACAAGTAAGTTCATTTTGCAACGTTATTTATTTAAATAAATAACTAATAGAGTGCGCTCGGTGACTTACGTTGCTTTATGATGCTGTTCATGACAGAATGGTAAACAAATGGTGCAAGAAGGAGCTTTAACAGCTCTTGCTTCCGTTGCTGATTCATCGCAGGTATATGTGAAGAAGTTATGTTGCATCGATTGTTCTCCTTGCATGCAACTCTTGATCTGACATTATCTGGATTTGCAGGAACATTTCCAAAAGTACTATGATGTTGTCATGCCATATCTCAAAACTATTTTGATGAACGCAACTGACAAATCTAAGCGGATGCTTCGTGCCAAATCCATGGAATGCATCAGTCTTGTTGGAATGGCAGTTGGAAAGGACAAATTTAGGGATGATGCTAGACAGGTGTGCTTATATGCATGGGTCAAATCAGTTTTCAAAATTGATGCTATATGTTGTAATCTTTCTTTTTGTACTACAGATAACCCGCCTCAAGCTGTCTATAAGATTTTGATCCTATTCCTCTGTCGGATGAAAATAATTTTAATTTCTATTTTTAGGTCATGGAAGTGCTTATGTCATTGCAAGGGACTGAAATGGAGGCAGATGATCCAATAACGAGCTATATGTTACAGGTAATTCTGATTAAAACATGCTAGGCCGCATGGCCGTTATGTCATCTGTTAACTTTTTTGTGTAAATTTACTTGCTTACATGTACCTTTCATTTTCTTAGGCATGGGCTAGGCTTTGCAAGTGTCTAGGCCAAGATTTCATCCCATACATGGAAGTTGTGATGCCTCCATTGCTTCAGTCAGCTCAACTTAAACCAGATGTGACAATTACATCTGCTGATTCAGAAGATGAAGCAGAGGATTCGGATGATGAAAGGTTTTCCACTCTTCTTTCCACTTCATCTGATTGTTCTGATGTCTCTGTAGACTGCTTTTATTAGCTCGTATGCCTTTGCATTAAAAAACTACTTCAATCTTTCTTAAAAATGTCATGAGTCGTCTCTGTATGTTGTTGGAAATGCAGCTTCCCTGAATAGTTTCTTATTTGTGCCATGAGATATTATTATTCTGAGATTCTGTTCCTTCGTGACATGGCATGTTTTAAGATATTTTATTTTCCGACAGTTTCTTGTCAAAATAGTTTTGTTGTTTCATTTTCTACTGCTACCTCATGTTAAGGTTGCGATAGATATGTGAGAAATGATAACTTACGCATAATCGATGGTCAAATATAGAGGTATGAATTTGACGTGGATGGATTTGTACTAATCCGATTTTGTATGCAGCATGGAGACCATTATCCTGGGAGACAAACGAATAGGAATCAAAACAAGTGTCCTAGAAGAAAAAGCCACAGCTTGTAACATGCTTTGTTGCTATGCTGATGAGTTAAAAGAAGGTTTTTTTCCCTGGATTGATCAGGTTTGTATGGTTAATTATCTCCAAATTTTGTCATTATCCTCTGCTGTTTTTGTGACTGGATAGACTGAATTAGTATATTGTAGGTTGCCCTTATACTGGTTCCTTTGCTGAAATTCTATTTTCACGAAGAAGTTAGAAGAGCAGCTGTGTCAGGTACATCAGTAAATATTTTCTCAATAATCCAATTTGTGGATCTATAAATGACAAGTTTCTAATAAATTGGATTTTTTTTTTTCTTAGCCATGCCGGAACTAATGCGCTCAGCCAAGCTGGCGATAGAGAAAGGAAAAGCTCAAGGGCGCGATCTATCCTATTTACAGCAGCTTTCTAACTACATAATTCCAGCCATACTAGAAGCGTTGCATAAAGTTAGTGTGTATTCTGTTCTTTTTTTTCTTTCTAGTTTCCCCTCGGCTTGGATCCAACATCTGATGATTGAATTTTATATAGGAACCTGATACAGAGATCTGTGTGAGTATGTTGGAAGCTATCAATGAATGCTTGCAGGTAACCTTTCATAGCAGTAGGAGTTTATTTTAAACAATTCTATTATACATTTGCCTCGTCAAGTCACTTTCCAACATTTCCATTTGACAATGCGGCACACTCTTAGGTAGTCTAAATGAATTAGCCAATAATGGTCATCTTTGTGATTGCTGGTATTGGGAAACCTGTAGACAAAATGATGGTCGTGTTTACTTTATTACTTGTCTAATCCTTCTCAGCATAGAGTATCGAGAATGATGAGTTATGATGCCTTAACAGCTGGTCTTATTTTCAAGCTTTGTTTAGGTTTAGGGTATGTGATAGAGAGCTTACTTTGAGCAAGTCTTTTATAATGTGCCTCGGAGAGTACATCGTAGCATTGCATTTGGAAAATGGTACCTATAACCTATCAATGTATTTCAGATCTCCGGAAATTTATTGGACGAAGGAAAAATTAGATCCATTGTTGATGAGGTAAAGCAAGTTATGACAGCAAGCTCTAGTAGGAAGCGAGAGAGAGGAGAGAGGGCTAATGCTGAAGACTTTGACGCTGAAGAGGGGGAGCTTATTAAAGAGGAAAATGAGCAAGAGGAAGAAATTTTTGATCAGGTTAGTTTTTTTTATGATTCACCTCACCCTTGTTAAAATGGAAGTTTAATAAAGTTGGTTTTCTTCAACGCGATTATTCATACTTGATATATTGTCTGCACATAGGTCGGCGAAATATTGGGAACACTAGTTAAGACATTCAAGGCCTCGTTTTTACCTTTCTTCGATGAGTTATCCTCTTACTTAACTCCTATGTGGGTAAGTTGCCGTCATCATTCAAGTCTCCTTTTTTGGTTATAAGTGGAGTTTTAGCACTCTGGCTCGGGTGAATAGAGTTTCTTAATATGTGGCTTTGGGCATGGCGCTGATACATTATTAGTTCTAGTCTGCCTCTGTTTTCTGTTTTGATATTGATTTGGATGTGTATTCGTTGAGTTCAGGGAAGGGATAAAACAGCCGAAGAGAGAAGGATTGCAATATGCATTTTTGATGATGTTGCAGAGCAATGCCGTGATGCTGCCTTTAAGTAAGGATGTGCATTCACTGGATTTTTATACAGTGCGTGTTTTCAGTATTCAGTGTTCTGATGTATTTTTTCCTGATATTTGTTTGGCAGATATTATGATACTTATCTTCCATTCGTACTGGAAGCTTGCAATGACGAGAGCCCAGAAGTTCGACAGGTATACCCCTGCATTTTGTTATCCGGTGTTTCTGGATCTCTATACTAATTGATCTGTCCTGTTTGTTTCAGGCTGCCGTTTATGGGCTTGGTGTTTGTGCTGAGTTTGGAGGATCTGTATTCAAGCCTCTTGTTGGAGGTATAGTATAACCTTGCCCATTGGTAGTCTTTTGGGGTTTAATCCATGCTTTGCAGCTAAGAAGTAACACGTGTTTTTGTTTCAACAGAGGCTCTGTCAAGATTAAATGTTGTGATACAGCAGCCAAATGCTCGGCAATCTGAAAATGCCATGGCATATGATAATGCTGTATCCGCTGTGGGAAAGATCTGCCTATTTCACCGAGACAGTATCGATTCTTCTCAGGTAGCTTATGATAGTTATTACCAGATGCTTGCTTTGCACGAATACATATGGGTTACCTTTGTTGAACAACAAGTTTAACTTTGTTTTTGGGTTTCTTAGGTCCTTCCTGCTTGGTTGAACTGTTTGCCTATAAGTAATGATGTCATTGAAGCCAAAGTGGTTCATGATCAGCTATGTTCAATGGTTGAGAGGTAATCAAATGGGTCTAGATTCTAAGTTTTGCTTAGCACTTGTTTTGCAGTCCTTATGACTGAGACTGTCGAAAACGACTGATTGATCATAAACTTGCAGGCAAGATGTGGACCTTTTAGGCCCCAATAACCAGTATCTTCCTAAAATCATAACAGTTTTCGCTGAGGTGTGTTGGTTGGTTGGTTACGCTTCTCATCGACAATATTTTGATCTTTGCATTGGTGTACTGATAATGTGGTGTGTAAATGATGGCTGGGCAGGTGCTCACAGGGAAAGACGTGGTGACACAAGAGACGGCAGGTCGTATGGTTAATATACTAAGGCAACTACAGCAAACACTGCCACCATCGGCATTGGGCTCCATATGGTCAACACTGAAACCCGAGCAGCAGCACGCTCTCCAATCCATGCTTTCCTCCTAAACTCACACCAATCTGCTCTCTCTGTTCATTTACACCACAAAGCGTCGTCAGTTTTGCATTCATGTGTTTACATTATTCTTTGGTTTTGCACACCATTTGTTGTTGGGAGGGATGAAGCAATGGGGTCTAAATCCTTCATAAGTCATGAAATGAAATTTACATCTTTAAGGTATGAAGTGTATATTAGGAGGGATTGTGATATTTGTTTAGTGTCAGTTGGGAATTCGGGTAATGATTCCCTACAAACACAGGTTTGTGTTGGCTTTATGTTTTGAGGAAAAGATGAAGCTTTTGTTTTTGTATGCAAATGAGAATTTTGAAAGAAATTATTCTTTACTGTCAATTGCTATTGTTTGTTTACTTTTGTTTTCCCTCAAATACTCATTCCATTCATCATTGGTACTCTTTTCATTTGCTCTTTTTTTTCTTCCTCTCTAAATCAGAACTTAATTTAATATATTTGAGACATTTTTTTGTCGAATTTGATACGTTTAATGCTGCATAACAACATCAACGTTTAACTCAAATATAAAAGGTTATTACCGTTTCTTTAATAAAAAGTTTAAACCGAGGTTACGACAACATGGTGTCATGAATTGAAACTGGTTGTTCGACTTGTTTAAGCCAGATACATCATATTTGTAGTTTTTTTGCTTTGATTTTTAATTTAAGTTAGAAAATGGTGTGCACGTAATCAAAAATACATGGAACCCACAACAGAAAACTCATGAATCATTCTATGAAACACACCCATCATTATAAAATCATATTCGTAATCATCACTATTTATTTACTAAAATAACAAGAACTAGTAGTCTTCGGAAAGACGAGGCACCCACTAACACTTGACCCCGAAAACATACGAACACAAAAAACTAAAAACATAACCTATATATATACACCTATTTGTACTTATATATGTCTACGTTTATCTTCAACATTCATAACGAAAAAAATGGAGCATCAAAGAACTGAAAAGCGGAAAACAAAGGAGAAGAAAAGCAAAGGCACCAAGAAGACGAAGTTCGTGGGAGTTAGGCAAAGACCTTCAGGAAAATGGGTGGCAGAGATCAAAGACACGACTCAACAGATACGTATGTGGCTCGGAACCTTTGAGACCGCAGAAGAAGCTGCTCGAGCCTACGACGAAGCTGCCTGTCTCCTACGTGGCTCCAATACTCGCACCAATTTCGCTAACCATTTTCCAAACAACTCACAATTGTCTTTGAAGATCAGAAACCTCCTTCACCAGAAGCAGAGCATGAAACTTCAGCAACAACAACAACAGCAAAACAAACCCGTTTCTTCTGTTGCGGGACGCAACATCAATTACACTTCGCCTACTACTAGTCCCACCACGACCACACTGATGCCGTTAGATAATGTGTACCGCCCTGACTCATCGGTCATATTACAACCAGAGGTAGACAGTGTCCAGCTTCCTTACTCTTGGCCACTTGTCTCTGGATTCAACCATCAGGTTCCTTTGACACAGGGAGTGACAGAAGCACATGAAGATCTCAGCAATCATAACTCAACAGATGGTCTAGCTGACATTGAAAGACAGATATCAGCATCCCTATATGCAATGAATGGAGCTACTACCACTTACTACGAAAACATGCATGCAGAGTATCCATTATTCGATCCAACCGATCCCATTTGGGATCTCCCTTCACTCTCCCAACTCTTCTGCCCTACATGATCTCATCTAACATTCCCTTTTCATTCCATGCAAGTGTGGATCCATGAGTGTAAAAGTAGAATACATCTCTACATAGTCCTATTGTATCTAAACAAACCAAAAAAGGAAAAATGTAAGAAGATGACAAAGATTGATTTTTCATAACAAAGGCTTTTGATAATGCATCAGAACCAACCAAAGAACCGCTCAATGTAATAAGTAATAACTAATGAGTTTCTTTGTAACTGAGGAGAAGGGTAAATTGTGAATCCAAGCTTAGATATTTTTCTTCATAATCTACACACAAACGTTCTAACAAGGGTAAATGTTTCAGACAGTGCATTATAACGTGTGCCTAAAATTTGGAAAAGTACAACTGTCCGGTCTGATTATTGATTTTATTTCATTTCCCATTCTGAAAGCAATGACAACAAGGTGTCTCGTTCTTAAATTACAAACGGCAGGATGTTTTATTTGGGCTCTCTTGCAAGATTATGGGCCTCTAAACAAGCTAATAAAATGTTTGGGCTTTTGTGTATTATTAGTAATTGAGTGCATGCCTATGCCTGTTAGTTTTCAAAACTTGAAACACAAGTTAGAACATTTGTTTTATTTAAATCTTAGATGCTTAGAGTTTGTTTTTTTTCTGTATGGTTATGATACATAGTTTTCTAGACCGGCTTATGAAACAGGCTTCTTCTGGTGATAAGAAAAATATTGTTAAGTTTTCTACAAATTAAGCCAACGAAAACACTACCAAGAACCCTTACTTCCTCGTTTGCGTTGAGAACGCCTTAGGAATCCGCAACTGGCTCGAATCACAAGGACACCAGTACATTGTCACCGACGACAAAGAAGGTCCAGACATATTCATAAAATAAATCCATATAATTATGTGAAGGTTATTAAAACCATATATTGATTTTTCTGATGCTACTATTATATTTATCAGAACTTGAGAAGCATATCCCTGATCTTATGTGACTGCGGAAAGGATCAAGAAAGCCAAGAACCTGCAGCTTCTCCTCATGGCGGTAGGTTTTTGTTACAAAGGTTGAAACCATTCGTGTGCAACCTATTGTACCATGACAGGTTTCAGATGGAACCACCAAGAGATTGGTGCACATCTCTCTGGCACCACCATCGATGCACAGGTAAATATATTCGCTTTAAAAATAATCAAATGGTACTTTTGGGATATACCTTCCAATTCTACATGATCCCATAAGTCATCTCTATGCGTGTAAAACAGATCTCCAGCGGTGCCATATATAAGAGTGCATGTATCTTGTCAAGCCTTTGGTATAGTCTCCATCTCAACTGATAACTCAAATGATCCCCGTGAGCCAGGAAGTGTACCAAACCCGTAATCATTTTCCAGGCAATACAAGCTTATGCCTGTACCTCAGCTCTGGTCTTCCGCATACAGCTTGTTCCAACACAAAGCCATATATGTGTGAGATTTAATATCACTCAGTCATAATAAAAGCGTGTTTCATGCCCCTGAAATCATATCTTCTGAAACCACTGCCATATCCACTGCAGCGTGCCATGTCTTCAGCTTCACATGAAAGTAATACAAACAGTCTCTTGTTTACTTGAGCCCCACGCAATTGATCTTTCACCATCATAAAAGATAAGTGCCACACTCTTGCCATCATCCGCGTCAATTCTTTGCCCTCTACCAATATCTCCAACACTTGGTATCTTCATTGCAGCTCTATGAAACACTTCAAATCTTTGCATATCTCGCCTTATCATCCTCACACAGCAAGATAGCTCCGGTCTGGTTTGACAACAGCCCACATTCCTCAATAGCATCTCTATCTCTTTTAAGTTCAGACTTTGATATCGATCGCTTCACCCCATATTGGTCATGAGGAAACGCACTGCCATCTCGCATGTAACTTCAGTGGAGATATCACCAAAAACAACTTTCAGATTCTCTTAAGTACCACTTGGACGTGTTCTGTCTTTGGTAATCTGAGAGACTGTATACACTCCTCTTCCCACTTCTTCTCTTGCTCAGAAAACTTCTCTCTCCCTTGAAGAACAAGCAAATTCTTCTCGTTTGTCTCTAATACAATACCACAGCTCTTTTTTTTTTTTTGTGTCTCAATGCCCCCAACAAGCAATCATCTCGTTCATGTTGTATCTTACTACGCCACTTTGAATGCTCCTTCGCCATTTTATTAACAATTTTTTCATGCTTTTTGTTTAGCGCTTCCACACGCTCTTTCATGGGATAGATAGATAGAGAAAACTTCCCAAGTAATGTTGTACTCTGTCTTTTTCGTGACTCTTCCGTTTTTTTTTACATTAATGTAGTACTCCTCCTCATGATTATATATAAGACATCTCACATGTGTTCTTTTCTTTCTTTCTTATCTTAGTCTCAGCGACTCTGAGCTTTACTCTCTCACTTTCTACTTCAGTGTGAGCATCTCTCAAGATAGGCATACACGGCAACACACTAACCTTCTTTTCCACGATTTCCCCTAATTGTTTTTCTAATAATAGTTCATTTTTCCTCATCTGCTCTCTTGAATATAACAATGTTTCCCGTGAAGAAACAGGCTCGAATCTCACATCGGTCAGAAGCTTTTTTTAATCTCCTGAAGTCCCATGAGTTCAGTTACAGCTCCAAGCCGTTCTGCTCTTGTCGTTGGAGTTTGATGGGACGTGCTTAAGCATTCTTCTTCTTCTTCTTCTTCTTCTTCTTCAGCCTCAACATTGGTGAACACTTTTTTCTATAAACAATAATGGCATATCCTTTAGAGACCTTTGTCTCTGTATTTCCAGTGCAAGTGCATGTTCTAAACCGTGCTATTAAACACTCCTTCCCTACCTATAAGTAAAGAGAGCTTTCATATTCAAACAACGCTTTCGGAGCCTAAACCTCTCTTCACCAGTTATGCTTTCTAAATCTGCTCTCTCCTCTTCTGGCTGTAGACACTCTTCCACCTTAGCTAAACCACGTTCAGATTTTAATAGCTTTCTCTCAGCAAAATAAAATATTGTTTTCAGCATCCTTACAAGCATTCTTATGCCCCAGTTCCTTTACCTCGTGTTTCACTGCTTTTGCATCCTCCAGATTCATTCCCCACTTACCTGTTGTGTCAAGTGTTTCACCAAGAGTACCACCGGCAGGAACAAGTTCATTACTAGGTTCAGTACGTGTGACAATCAGGGCCGATGATCCTTCTCTTAAACGTGCCTCTTCTTCTTTGTTTTGTAAACTCTTTTACAAGTTTCTCTTATAGATAATCTCAACTCATTAGGATTAGTAACTTGCTTCTCAAGCTATTTCAAGCTTGCTCCAACACAGCTTATGGACAAACCGTGGTAGACCATGTACTTGCCTTGTTTGAATTTGTACATCCACGATTTAGCTGACAACCATTTCTTCCTTGGTTGAAACAGTTTCCTACGGAACACATGGTTTGCTTCTGACTTCTCTCACTTTACATTCTCTACAAGAATATAGAGGATGTAAGTAGCTGACCCGTACAAGTGCATTATTATCAACGTCCTGAGTAAACAGAAACAACTGATCTTGAGTAACAACACTATCAACCTCCCTCCGTAATTGAAATCCTGCGACTGACTATCCCTGAAACTGCTACATCTTCAGGATTTGCATCCAACTTTCTGGAGGTAGCAATCCATAGATCTTAGTGTGTATTCAGCTAAAGACCAAGTGTAAGCCGAATATTTTTGTTTTCCTCTCAACGACCCAAAACCAATCCATAGATCTTAGTGTGTCCAAAGATCTTATTTAAGCCACATGTTGAATCTTTTAGCCTCTGTTTAAGACTATATTTTAAGCCGCATGTTTTGTTTTATGTCCAACTAACCAAAAGCAGTTCACTGTCCTGTCACAAGACCTCATTTACGCCTTACTTCCAACAGATCAAACTTTTTCCACAAGATTTTGTTTAAGCCGTGGGTTATATACTTAATAACATCTTACAGTCTATCTGAAGACATTTGTAGATGTGGGTGTTATAACGTTTTGACTTTTTTTTTGTATCTCTTTAGCCTATGTCTTGAGATTAAGTCTTTAAGCCATATGTCATGTTCTACTATCATGGCCTTTGTCCAAAGACATGGTTTTTGTTTAAGCTGTGGGTATCAGATAGAAGATCGGTATCTTAATCTTAGCCTCTATCTGAAGATATGTTTAAGACGTGGGTGTAATAACAAATTGATTTTTGTATCTCAGTTTTTGTCTAAAGATTTTATTTTAAGCCGTGGGTACAATATCAAGATTTGACACATAGTCTTGTTTTCAGACTTCATGTAAATCGTGGGTACAAATTAGTTTTCGATGTAAATCAAAAATCTGATGCTTAGTCTTGTATTAAGACAACATGTAGAGACGTTAACTTAAGCCGCAAGGTAGAGTTATTATCCTCTAACTAATTAACCAACAATCCAGTTTTTGTCAAATTTTAAGCTGCAGGTTCTGTTCTAGTTCCAAACAGATCCATTGTCTTTGTCAAAAGATATCACCTAAGCCGTTGGTTGTTACATAGTCTATGTCTAAAGACTAATTTGTTAAGCCACATATTCTCTTTTCCTCTCAATGAGCCAAAACCAATTCATAGTCTTGTCCAAAGACCTTATTTAAGCCACAGGTTGAATCTTACCAAAGACAGTTCACTGTCTTTGTCAGAAGACCTCATTTAAGTCGTGGGTGCGTAAAGGAACCGTTTACAAATCTTTTGACTCTGTCTAAAGACCAAGTTTTTAGCTGCATGTTCTGTTTTTACTTCTGACAGATCATGGCCTTTGTCCTAACTCTGTTTAAGCCGTGGGTTCTTCTAATAGATTGTGGTATCTTAGCTCTGTCTAAAGATACTGGGTGTTATTTTTGCATCTCTTAGCCTACCTAGACTGATTTTTAAGCCACATGTCATCTTCCAATAGATCATGGCCTTTGTCCAAAGACCTGACTTTGTTTAAGCCGTGGGTTATATATATAGAAGATATCTTAGCCTCTATATGAAGACATTCATTTAAGCTGTGTGGGTACAGTGTCCTCTCAAAGAATCAAAATTTGACACATAGTGTCTTTGTCTTCAGACTTCACGTAAGCCGTGGGGTACAGTTTAGTTTTCCATTTCGAATCAAAATCTGATGCATAGTCTTGTATTAAGACAACATGTAGCGAAGGAGACTTTAACTTAAGCTGCAAGGGACAGTTATTATACTCCAACTTACCAAAAAAAACAAACCCTCTTTGTCTTAAGACTTCACTCAAGCCGTGGCTACTCAATCCGATCAGTCTTTCTCTAAAGACTTCATTATAAGTTGTGGCTGTACATAGCCTTTGTCTAAAACTAAGTCTTAAGCCGCAGACTCTAAATTTCCTTTCAAGTTTCAACGAGCAAAAACAGATCCAGTCTTTGTCTTTAGACTTTATTTTAAGCTGTGGGTCATAAAAAGATCAGTTTGTTAGAGTTTTAGCCTCTGTCTAAAGACAAAACTTGAAGCCGTGGGTACAATTCTCCTTCCAACGAACCAAAATGGCAAAACAGATTCATAAAGGACCAGTTTTTGGAGTTTTAGTCTACGTCTAAAGACTAAACTCAAAGCCGTGGATAGTGTTCCTTCCAACCAAACCAAACCAAAACAGATCCATGTACTTGTCATAAGTATCAGTTTGTTAAGAGTTTTAGCCTCTGTCTAAAGACTAAACTCAAAGCCGTGGGTACAACGTTCCTTACAACCAACCTAAACAAGTTCCATAAAGGATCAGTTTTTAGAGTTAAGTCTATGTCTAAAGACTAAACGTAAAGCCAAGCCGTGGGTAGTGTGTTCCTTCCAACCAACCAAACCAAAACAGATCCATATACTTTGTCATAAAGGATCAGTTTGTTAAGAGTTTTAGCCTCTGTTTAAAGACTAAACTCAAAGCCATGGGTACAATGTTCCTTTCAACCAACCAAAACAATAAGAGGAGTCTCTGTCTAAAGACTTCATTTATAACTTATAGGCCGTGGGCACCTTTCAATAAATGACCAGTCTTTGTCTAAAGACATCATAATAAGCCGTGGGTACAATTATCCTTCAAGCCAACCAACAAAAAAACAGATCCAGTCTTTGTCTAGAGACTTTATATAAGCTGGGGTACTTTTTCAATGAATCCAAATCCAAGCAGTCTTAGGTCTAAAGACTTCATTATAAGCCGCAGGGACAGTTATCCTTCAAACCAACCAACAAAAACAGATCCAGCCTTTGTCTATAGACTTTATTTTAAGCCGTGGGTCAAAAAAAGATCAGTTTGTTAGAGTTTTAGCCTCTGTCTAAAGACTAAACTCAAAGACGTGGGTAGTGTTTCCTTCCAACCAAACCAAAACAGATCCATGTACTTTGTCATAAAGGTTCAGTTTGTTAGAGTTTTAGCCTCTGCCTAAAGACTAAACTCAAAGCTGTGAGTACAATGTTCCTTCCAACCAACCAAAACAGATCCATAAGGATCAGTTTTTTAGAGTTTTAGTCTATGTCTAAACACTAAAATCAAAGCCGTGGGTACTCAATAAGAACAGTCTTTGTCAAAAGACCTCATTTATAACTTACAAGCCGTGGGTACCTTTCAATAAAACCAAATCTGACCAGTCTTTGTCTAAAGACATCATTATAAGCCCTAGGTACAGTTATCCTTCAAACCAGCAAACAAAAACAGATCCAGTCATTGTCTTTAGACTTTATTTTAACCCGTGGGTCATAAAAGGATCAGTTTGTTAGAGTTTTAGTCTCTGTCTAAAGACAAAACTTGAAGCCGTGGGTACAATGTTCCTTCTAACGAACCAAAATGGCAAAACAGATTCATAAAGGATCGAGTTTTAGTCTACGTCTAAAGACTAAACTCAAAGCCGTGAATAGTGTTCCTTCCAACCAAACCAAACCAAAACAGATCCATATATTTGTCATAAGTATCAGTTTGTTAAGAGTTTTAGCCTCTGTCTAAAGACTAAACTCAAAGCCGTGGGTACAATGTTCCTTACAACCAACCAAAACAGATTCCATAAAGGATCAGTTTCTAGAGTTAAGTCTATGTCTAAAGACTAAACGCAAAGCCAAGCCGAGGGTAGTTTGTTCCTTCCAACCAAACCAAACCAAAACAGATCCATATACTTTGTAATAAAGGATCAATTTGTTAAGAGTGTTAGCCTCTGTCTAAAGACTAAACTCAAAGCCATGGGTACAATGTTCCTTTCAACCAACCAACCAAAACAGATCCATATACTTTGTAATAAAGGATCAGTTTGTTAAGAGTTTTAGCCTCTGTTTAAAAACTAAACTCAAAGCTGTGGGTACAATGTTCCTTTCAACCAACCAAAACAGATCCAACAACCAATCAAGATCTCAAGACTTCACTCAAGCCGTGGGTACTCAATAAGAAGAGTCTCTGTCTAAAGACTTCATTTATAACTTATAGGCCGTGGGTACCTTTCAATAAATGACCAGTCTTTGTCTAAAGACATCATAATAAGCCGTGGGTACAGTTATCCTTCAAGCCAACCAACAAAAAAACAGATCCAGTCTTTGTCTATAGACTTTTCTTTTAAGGGTCACAAAAGGATCAGTTTTTTTTTTCTTAGCCTCTGTCTAAAGACTATATTAAAAGCCGTGGTAGCAAAACAGATCCATAGTAGTAAAGGATCAATGTTTATCCTTCAAGCCAACCAACAAAAAAACAGATCCAGTCTTTGTCTAAAGACTTTTCTTTTAAGGGTCACAAAAGGATCTGTTTTTTTTTTATAGCCTTTGTCTAAAGACTATATTAAAAGCCGTGGGTAACAAAATAGATCCTTTGTAGTAAAGGATCAATGTTTAATATAAGCCGTGGGTCATCATATATTCCATCATCACCCTAGCATTAGCCATGCACCACCAACCAATACCAATACCAATACCAATTCAATTCATATGATGCTAGGGCGATGATGGAATATAACAATTCTTATGTACCCAAGAAAGAATCTGACACAACACTATTAGTTCAGTGTTTGCCCATGAATCTCTCTCTCTTTGGGATTAAATACAAAAAACAAAAACAAAAAACAAAACAATTAAGAATTAAAAAAAAATCTTGAAACCCTAAGAAGAAAAAAGAAGAAGAAGAGAGTTACCGAATTTATTGCATAGAACCCAAGCGGAGCGGATTTCACGCGGAATCATCAAAGAGACCAAGCGGCAAGTGAGAAACCCTAAAAGAAAACAAAGTCGATATACAAGTTATGAATGTGTTTGTGAAAATTAAAAAAAGAAAAGAAGTCTGTAAAAATTAAGTCGATACCTTAGAGGATTACAAATCTCCGGAGGAGGATGGATCATCGATCGAGAGAGAAAAGGAATAGTTGAGAGAAACAAAACAAAATTGAACTACCAAAAAACAAATAAAAAGATTGGGTCCACTTTTATTGTGTTAATCACGCGTTTTCTTCTAAGTTCTAACGGCTAAATTTTTAAGTAAATGGGCTAATTATTTATTCCAGGCCCAAATCTAGAGAACGTTTTTTCTTTTGGGTGAGATCTATACTATTTATAACCTATAGTGAAGTGATTTTTCACAATAGAATTCTCACATTAAAAATTAAAGTGGCTAATATCATTTTTACCTTTAATAAATTATATAATTAAATTAAAAACAATTTTATAATAAGAATATTAGAATTATATGTTATTTTAGATAATTGATTATAAATTAATATGATAATTATCTAAATATATACATTTTTGAAAAAAAAGATAATTTTTATGGATATTGAGTTGTTATCTGAAAATAACAGAGCTTTCACGTTAAAAGTTAAAGTAGCTTATAATGGTTTTATCCTTGATGAATTATACAATTTATTTTATAATTAAATAAAAAATGAATTTAAATAATAATATTATAATTATATGTTATATTAGATAATTGATTATAAATTAATATGATAATTGTCAAAATAATTAATACATATTTATAAAATAAGATAATTCTTATATATATTGGGTTGTTATATGAAAATAATATTTTTCTATCACAATATTAGGGCCATATATAATGAACTTATATAAAAAAATTTAAAATTAAGTATTAATTAAATAAAATTATACATACTTTCTAAACTGTTTCTAATTTATGGGTTTTTCAACACAATAATGAGCATATAAATATTTTATAAAACAATTTTTGTATACAGATTTAATGTTTGATTTAAAATTTAAAAACATAAATAATAATTTACAATAAATACTGGTGTGAAAATTATGTCCGCATGTGCGGACACAACACCTAGTTTGGGTAAAAAAAATATGTTAAACAACATACATAAATAAAACTGACCTATTAGCTCAGTTGGTTAGAGCTTTGGTCATTACTAATCTGCAAGAGTCTTGTGATTTGGAATTATAGACTTTGTAGTCCTATTCAAATATCTGTTATTGAGATTATATATTTGGTGCTTTATTTGATAGAAAGAAAAAAACAGATACGTTATGCGGCGGGGACAAAAGACATGTTGGAGAAGTATTTCAAGGGAGAAGACTTCCCTGCTCAGAATTACATTGCTAAGGATAGTGTGCTTGCTCCAGGTAAGCAGCTATTTTCAACTTTCAAGTCTTGTATCTAATGGGCAAAAGCTTACAAAGAATTAAATAAATTCTCAATAATGTCCCTTTTTCCATTTGAAAAAAAAATAAAAATGTAATGATTTCATGATATGTACGTTGAGTTCTATCTATGATGGATGATGCTTGTTATATTTGAACTTCGACTTGAACCGAACTTTATAAGAACACATCGACCCGTAACAACTACATCGGACGACTTGGTCCACACCTGGATAGGCACATACCGACGGTGGTCTAAGTAGGACTTTGCGACAACATTTGTATAATGTTGTAGAACGTGGGTCCAAATCTGTACAAATATTTATGTTTCTCGACAACTATCTCAATCAATATTATGGGTATTAAAAATTATTGTCTTCATTTTCTTTAGATGTGATGGCAATGCTAATCATTCAACTTGTAATTTGATGAAACAGTGGTTATAGATATGGGTGACAGCCAACTATTATTTAGTTTCCTTATTCTAAATCTACCCTTCCTCCTCACATTGCATTATCACATTTTTACTACATCAGAGCATGTCCAAACCTCAAATCGTTCTGAACAGATGTTTTCTTTAATTATTACAATCCACAATTCAGTCGGAATGATGGATTTTATCAAAAGAATCATTGAATAAAAATCAATTGATGATAACTAGAAACCAATATTTCATGACAATATTAGCATAATTAAAACACGCATAATCTCGAAGTTATTTCATCACCAAACTTTTCTATAACCTCTTTTTTATTAAGCTGAATTTACAACCACACACTACTACCTCACTAGTCAAATACAATCTTTCAAATTATTCAAGTTAGTAATTATAGGGATCTGACAAGATTTGAATTTAATTCTTATATAGAGAAGTACGATATGTATTTAAAGCTCTTTACACCTACCACGTTTCTGTGTATCCAGAAAATGTATGACATGCAGTGTCATTGTTATCAACATTCATGATAAAAGAAAAAACATTTGCCTGAGAAAACCATTTCTAAAATTAAACATCATATGCTAGATTCACAGCGACACTCGACAGTTTGATGAGGATGTTTTTTTAGCGCTGGTGGGTCTTATCAAAATCTAAAACTAAGAGTAATCAAACAAGTTTGTTCAAAATAAACATAACAATCACCAAATATGAAATTAACCAAAATAGAAAAAAGTTTTTATTTGGAAATAATATATTTAATCAAGAGGATATTTTTTATTTTTTTTGATCAAAATCAAGAGGATATTATTTGTGAGGAATAATGTGAAAACAAAAAAAAATAAAAACATTAACTTCAACCGATCGCAATAAAAGGTAAACAAGAAACCGACAAATAAATTTCTGTAAACAAATAGGCCCCACTAGAAACCATATACGCCACCGTTTCACTCACACTATACGAATACGACGTCGTCTCCAAACCACACTTGAACATGAATACGACTCATGAAAGTGCATCATCGCCGGTTAAATATTTTTCCATCTTCAAAAAAAAAAAAAAAAAAAAAGTCTCTCTCTCTGTCTCTCACTATTTTCTCTCGCATTTCAAATTGCATTTCCTTTTAGATTCTTATAGTCGGCGCGGCGATTCTCGAGTCCACGACGTTTCTCTCCTTCGTAGGTAAAACTTTCTCCCTCCTCATTTTCGATAAACGCAAATCGGAACTAATGTTTTGGTATTATCGTAATTTTAGAATTAAGTCAGCCGGTGAAAAACGTTTTATAATCACAATCGCAATCGCAGAGGACTTTTGTTTGCAAAAACGAACTGAGATCTTCTGAGCGAGATCGTGTGATTGTTTAATCCGAGTTCGAATATGCAGATCTCTGCTGTTGAATCGTTCCGATTCGATCTTATTTGAAACAGTCTCCGAACTTTACAAAGTAGAGAGTTCACCAGATAGTTAGTTTTCTTGGATGATTCAAGCTGTATAGATTTCAATTCATTGAGACTTGTGTGTTTGTGTGTGGTTTGTGATGAGCTAGAAACTTATCTCACTCTAGGCTTAATAACGTAACAGTAATACGTAAGTTTCTTGAAGGTGTTTTAAGTGTGTTGTGTTGATTAATTTAACATTATTTATTGTAACTCTTTCTGTGTATTTTGTTTGGAATAATGGTAGCTCTTCTTTCACGCATATGGCAAGCAATACTTTAAAAGATTTGAATACACTTCCTGTTACCGAGAAGATGAGTGAATGTAAAGCAAGTTTAGCCAAGCCCTGTGTTGGGAAAATCAATGGGAAGTCTGAAGATAGACCATTACCAAGCTCTGCTGCTTTGGATCATCCTAGTGCTGTGGAAACAGAGATTCCTGAGGTGGAGAAAGCTACCGTGGAAGTTGAGTATGTTGAATCTGAGAACTTGGATAATGTTGACGATCCTGATGCTGTTCTCAAGGTGTTTTCTCCCGTTTGTGCTTCTGTGTTTTTGGTTGCATTATATCTCATTAGGTTCATTAATGTTTTTTTTTTATTTTTCTTCAGACGGTTCTAGCTGGTCTTGACTCCAAGGATTGGGTATCAGTCTGTGATGCTCTTAATAATGTTCGTCGGCTTTCAATATTCCACAAAGAAGCGATGCTGCATTTGCTGTAAGTCGTGTTCTCTGTTTACTGACTTTATTAGCTCTTAAAAGTAAGAGTCTCTCACACCATATCCTCTTAACAGAGAAAAAGTGATTCCACTCGTTGTGAAATCACTGAAAAACCCAAGAAGTGCGGTGTGTAAAACCGCATGCATGACATCTGCAGACATCTTCAGCGCATATAACAACCATATAACAGATCTTTTGGATTCTCTGGTAATTTCATTTTATCTTTTTCGTACTGTGTTCGCTGATTTGGAATTTACTTATTCTTAAAACGCTTCATACACGTTGCTCTCAGCTGACTCAACTCCTCCTCAAGTCTTCTCAAGATAAAAGGTTCGTCTGCGAGGCAGCAGAGAAAGCTTTAACATCAATGACCAAATACGTTTCCCCAACTTTGCTGCTACCAAAGCTTCAACCTTGTCTCAAGAACAGGAATCCTAGGATCCGTGCAAAAGCATCATTGTGCTTTTCCAGAAGTGTTCCTCGACTGGTAACACAAGTTCAACTTCTTTTGCGTTCCAGATATATATCTATCACAAACGCATCACATGTTATGTAGCAGTTCCAACAACTCATTTGCTATGTTATACTTAATTTCAGGGCGTTGAAGGTATTAAAGAGTATGGAATCGATAAATTAGTTCAAGCAGCTGCGTCTCAGCTAACGGATCAGCTCCCTGAATCCCGGGAGGCTGCACGGACCGTCCTACTTGAACTCCAGACCGTTTATGAAAAAGCTCATCCTATCACCAACCACGAGACATCATCATCATCAGCACCGCCAGAGGAAGAGAAAGCTCCAGAGGCAGAGGCAGAGGCAATTACTTGGGAAATGTTCTGCCAGTCAAAGCTGTCGGCTCTAAGCGCACAAGCCGTGCTTCGTGTCACCAATGTTGTGGCAGTGACTGCTCGAGAGGGTTTGGTTATTGCAGGTTCATCACAGCTATAAGCCTTTCTTTACTATTTTTTTTTTTAAAACCGTTTGCTACGATCATACAGTTGCATGGTATTCTCCGTTCATGATTCTACCAAATTGGGAAATTATGGAGCGGTAAAGAGAGTGAAAACCGGTTATTAAAAATCTTGGTAAATTTTTTTTTTTGTGAGTGATTATTTTGTCATCAGCTTCATCAATGACTTTTTTTCTTTGATTCGTATGTGTATATATGGTTTAAGCGTTCTTTGACGATTTAAGCGTTCATTTTTTCACAGCATTATTGACTTGTTGAGTTTGATCAGCTCAAGTATAGACTAGCTCTGTAGTGTGGCTCATTACCATGTCCTCATAAAAACAACGGATACAAACTTTATATAAATGACATCAAATCGTGTACATATGACGTTACATTAAGGAAAAAAAAAACAAATAACAAAATTACACAATCGTGTGTCGTTCATTCAAAAACCACTACAAACATCACGGCGTTTTTAAAACTGTGAAGCTAAACCAACCAAAACCAACACGAAACCTAGAATCAGTTTTCTATGTTAGCATAGACAACCACTGAGGACTGAAGATCTCTATCAACCTTGAAATGCGCGTGGAAGAATCTTTTCACCTGTTTCAATGTCAACAAAAGAAACATATTATTAGTTACGCGAGAGTTGGAAAATAAAGTGTTCTTGTTTCTAACTTACCTCTCTAAAGGAATGTTTGATTATCAAATCTCTGAGTTTTGTTTCTTCTGATGCAAACATCACAATGTGGCTAGGCGGCTCTGACCAGTTTCCAGCTAACTCTGATACGAAACCTAAAGGGTTCATCATGAATCGGTCTGACTCGTCAAGTTTTCCCTTCTCTTCACTGTTTGACATGAAAACCACCCTTTTAAGAACCAAATCGTCTAAAAGAAGAAGTAACTGTGATTTTTTTTGTTACCTTGGCGTGCAGTCCAGAAATTGCATTGGAATGTTACTATGGAGAGTGGAATAGTAGGGAGTAGAATGGCATGGCATGAGAAAGAGAATGCTCTTTACTCTCCCTTTGTGTGCTTCTTCCGATAAGTAGTTCATCGCATCCTCCGTCCCTCTCTGTTGGAAACAGCAACAACATTCCTTTTTAACACGAGTCGATAGAGACAAAGAGAGAGCACTAAAGTAATTGATTCTTTACCTGATGGAATAAACTCATGTATAGTGCCATTGGGATATTGGTCACAAGTAAAAATAAGACTGAAAGTGTTAGTTTAGTAGACCACTTCACGATGTGCTTCTTTCTAGGGACTTGCTTCTTTTTAGTTACTGATGATGATGGTGAAGAATCAGATCCCTCCATTTGAGTAAGGGCATACCCAGAGAATATCAAAGCAAGGGGTAGCACAGGCAGCACAAACCTATCATTCATAATCTAAGTAGTCCACACGGAAAACAAAATGTATGATGAAATAGTAAGAAAAAGGGTTTCATTCTCACCTGAATTCCTTGTGGCCGAGCAGGCTGTAAATCGTTAAAACCCATAGAACAAGAGCTGAAAGCTTCTGACTCTTAGAGTTGATCATTCCAGCAATGGAGAGTGGTGTGAAAGTGAAAAGCATGACAAGAAATCCCTGGGAGAAGTACCAGTGCCATGGGTGAGTTCCGTAATAGTCTCCACCAGATGAAAGGAAGTTGAACTTGAGAAAATTAAGAGGCACAATGACCCATGAGCCGTACATCAGACGGTCCAGCGAACAGGTTAAGCCGAGGACCAAAGACCTAACACGACAAACAAGTAAGCACTATGAAATCTTCAAAGCAAACATGGAAACTTCAAGAGTATAGCTGCAGAGTTCATAAACTCACCCAATCGGGATCACCTCTAGGACGATGAATTTGACCTTATTAGGCGTCAAAAATAGCTCAAGCGTCCCAACATATAACCATATGATTGCACTTGTAGGTCTAATGGCACATGCTAGGGCCGCTATGACCAAACCCCACTTCCGATTCACAGTATGGCCAATTGAAGAATCTCTAATACAAGGCCAGTAGTATAGTCCCATGATGGTGAGAACAGTCTCCAAACAGTTTGAAAACGTACGGTTCATACAGAAGAACATGAACCAGTTTGCCATTTGACAAAATAGCTACCAAAACGTTAAGGAAACAATCCAGAAACAAAATGCAAATACAGATCGAGACAAAAAAAAAACAAACAAGATGAAAAACAAAAATCAAATTCAAGGAAAAGCAAGGAATCGGTTATTCAGGACATCTTCATGGAAACCACTAACAGACTTATCTAAATCATCAATCGAAATAGGACATGGAAACCACTAACAGACTTATCTAAATCATCAATCGAAATAGGACAGATGCTCTCTAACTCAGTTCCGGTTACATCGACCTAGCATTTCATTAGAGCTACCAAATCAAATGTAATGGTTAGTTGAAAATTATTTTTAGCTAGCCTAGTCTAATATTATGGCCATACCATTCAATAAAATGAAGCAGTTGGCTTTACACTTAGCTGAAACTATAAGGATACAGACCAGCCTGCGACATTTTCTCCATAAAGAGCATCAGACAATTTGTACAAATAAAGATCACCAAGAGCTGAAAATATGGATTGCATGAGACGTGGAGCTTTGCTCTGCAACGAAGAGAAAACGTTTGTAACACATAAACCCCAAAATCTATCCACATTTGAGAGCTAAAATTGCTAAACACACAAGTCAAAAAAAAAAAAAAAAAGAATCACACTGACCATAACGTAGGGAGTGTCAAGACCCGTGAGGTGAAGAAGTTTGTACAAGAAAGCGAATACCATAGGATGCAAATAGCTTCGTATCCCTCTCTTCCACTCCCATGTCAAATATCCATAACTGCCATCAAAAATCAATTATCATCAAAATCAATGATTCAATCAAAGTTGTAACACTCAAACAGCATTAGAATCTGTTAGTTGAGCTCTTTCTGTTATTTTCATTAAAGATTCAACGTTTACATTTATAGTATTGAGATCCAGTTTACATGTACCCGTTACAATCAATTACTAAATCACACTCAAACCAACATTAAACCAATGTGTATACATTAGTAGAATCCAGAATTGGTTTCAGCTTAACGCTCTTAACTAAAGCTGAAAAGGCATTACCCGAAGACGGTACGATGAGCTACTTCGAGGGATTGCCAATGCTCGTCGGGATTGAAATAGGTTTGAATCAACAAAGCATTCACCACACGAAACGCGAGACAGAACATGAATATCCGCCTCGTAGATCGCGTCGCTCGACCTGATTTAGACGGATTCCGATCATAACCAGCGCCGTCAACTGACGCGCCACCGTCGTCGGCGAGCTTCCGTTTCCTTATTTCCATCGTAAGACTGAACTTTTCTCGTTCAGAAGAAAAAAAAAAGACAAAGGTAAGAAACACCAACATTTAATTGCTCCATTGCAAGGCTCTTAGTTAAAGGTTCTTAAAAAAAAATATCAAACAGCAGCAGGATTGAAGGCTGGCGTTGATTCTGCGACGGTGGTAGAGAAAGAATCCTATCACGTATCATGCAATCAATGGCAGACCGAATATGAGTAGCTGTAGTTGAGACAGAAGTAAAGATCCTCGAGTTACTCTCCTTTCCAAATGAGATAGATGGGAGACTGATAGATGATCTTGAGGAGGAAGAGCCCTTGTGCTGATAAAACAACACATCAATGAGAATAAGCTTTGGTATATCTTCACAATGCAAGTAATGACGCACCATAATCAATAACAAGAACAAGAAAAGAAGAACATGTAACATGCTTATTAATACACAGAAAAGCTTACATTAAACATAACTCCATGACCAGAACAATAACGAGAACTTAAAAGAAAGAACATGAACACGAACTCCATGACAATAACTCAAAGACCAAAAAGCTTAAAATCACGAGAGTGGTAGCATATGATGCTTGAAATCTCAGGTGGTCCTTAGACTTTAGAGAAGCTGACACAACAAGTGACACAAATCACATAGATATACCTCTTAAAAACAATGGAGCAGATACACAACTGCAGGTACCTAAAAAAAAACTTTATCATTTCTTTAAAACTCAAACTTTGTGAATGTAACAAGTTCACTAGACCTACAATAACAAGGAAGCAGACACACAATTAAACCTTATGTTCCTGGAAAATTCAAACTTTTTGTGTAATTCAACACCTTCTCCTCAATACAAAGATGTGACATTTTGAGAATAAACATCACTAATTCAATAAACCCAGAAGAAATCACCAAAGAAAACTGTAATACGCTGTTGCAATAACAAGTATTACCTTCGGGAAACTGGTCGTCGGAGCTTTCTCGAGCTTTATCTGATCGGAGAGATTTTTAAAAAGGAATCTGTCCTCTCTCTCCCTTCTTATCTGCGTATCGTTAGATTCAATTGGACGATTTAATCGGATGATCAATGTTCAAAGGAACCTATCTCTCTCTCAGAGGGCGAAGGCGAATCGATTTTCTCCCATCGTGTTCTGTTCCCAAACGTATCAGAGTGACGCGTGTCCAGAAGAACCGTGTCTTGTGTACCTTAATGAAGATACGTATCCCAGAGTAATTGCTATTTTAGGCCTGGACATTCGGATATTCTGTTCGGTTCCGGATAGGAACCATTCGGTTTCGGATATATCGGATAAATAATTCATATACCCAATAGGTACTTAGGAGATTTCGGTTCGGTTTCGGTTCGGTTCCAGTTCGGTTTCAGTTCGGCTTCGGATACCCATTTAATATATAAATCAAATATATATATACAAAATATATTAATTAATATGTTAATTTAAATGGTCTAGTGTTTACACGCTTACATATTCGTAAATCCAACAACAGCTTGAATCAATAAAGTGTTAATTTTATAAATATTTATCATATTTTAATATAGAAATACCATATATATTTATAATATAACAGAATAAATAAAACATAACATGGTCTGGTGGTAAAATGTACTTACTCTTTGTATCTAACATGGGTTTAAGTGTGCTTGATGTCATTTTATCTTATTTTTAGAAAAAGTTAACTGGTTTTTTCGGATATTCGGGTACCCGTTCGGTTCTCGGTTCGGTTCCAGTTCGGTTTTTCGGATATAGAAATATAGGAACCATTCGGATATTTTATAATTTCGGTCCGGTTTCGGTTTCGGGTATTTCGATTCGATTCCGGTTCGGTTTTTCGGTTCCGGTTTTTTTGCCCAGGCCTATGCTATTTTCCATTTATTTTAAATTCTAATTAAGCTAAAAACTCATCTAAGAGCCCAGCGATAATCATGATGCAGCCCGCCCGAATTGAAGTATGGGCTTATTGTATGCTTGGCTCATTATAAATTAGCTCTGGATTCTTTAGGCCCATCTAGTTTAGTAATATTATAAAATAAGATGTATGAGACGTGCAAAGTTTCTAACTCTTGACAACGAAGCTCATAATTCATAGCCTTGATATTATTTAGGATGATATCACAGTGAGTATATCTGATATGAGAAAAAAAAAAAAACATACAAATATAGCAGTAAGACAAGTTTAAAAACAATATACGTATTTATTTACTCTAAAACTATTTTGCTAGATTGGAATCGAAGGGTCGGGTTGGTCTGATACCTAGCGAGAAAATTAAAGATTAAACAAAAACATGTTAATTTTAATTATTTATAATATTAATATATTTATATGTTTAAACTCATATAAACACACATAAATATAAAATATACAGTTAACTAGATGTTTTGCCCGCACATGCGGGCTTAATTATCTTTAAGCCAATATAAAAATCATCAAAATAAATAATTATTTTCATCCAAAAAATCTGATCTAAAACATTAAACTTTTTTACATGATAAAGTTATTCACAAATTAAAAAAAAAAAAACTATTTTTTCGTTTAAAACTTTGAAAAAAAATCTAAAGTCTATTCCATTTCTTCTTAATTGATAAAAAAAAATATGGAAACCTATTTTTCAATTTGATAAATTGAATAGATAAATATACATTCAAAAATCGATCTTACAGAAATAATAATATTAGTTTGGATAATAATACAATATATTTGAATTTATTTGTCTCAAACAAATATTTTCTTTCTTTTTGAATGATCTTTTATTTTATTATGATTAATTCATGTTTAATGTTTAACTATATAAAATATAAAAATAAATTTAATTTAACGTGTGAATTCAGAGGCAAAAATAACTTCAAAAATATATATCATTATATTATATTATTATATTCTTTTAATTTGAAAATAATACGTATTATAAATTTTTCAATTTTCTCTTTTCAATTCTATACAATTAAAATTTACTTTAAGAATATTTATTTATTCTGTTTTTGATTTTTAATTAAAATATATTTTCCGGATAACAACGCAATATATATAGGAATTATCTTTTTATTTTTAAATATATATTTAGATTATGGATAATTCTTATCAGTATTATTAATTTAAATCATTTATCTAATCAAATAAATATCAAATTCGTTTTTATTTTTGGCTGGTTTATATATTTTATTCATTAAGGGTATAATCGATATTAACCACTCTAACTTTTAACGTGAGAGCTCCGTTGCGAAAAATCACTTCGCAAATAATAGTATAGATACAACATTTGTTTTCTCATGAATATAAATTGCATTATCAAAGTTTAAATTAAATAAATAGAGAAAATTATTATTAAAAATAATTAATTAATAAAAGATTCAAAAATATGTTAAGTGATTATGCGGTCGTTTAGGTGATCCAGACATATTAAAATCGGACATCTAATTTTTATACCCAATTGACTTAAAGTTGGATAAATGACTGGTATCTATCGTCTAAGAAGCTAGGTGACTAAACATTTGGTATTTAGAACATGAGTCATTTAACATCACATCCTCAAATTGGAAAAAAAAAAAAAACAAAGTTGAAATTTATTGCTTGTCTATTTGTCTATCTATATTATTATTTGAAAAATAAATTTGTTTAATTGTCAATTTTTCTATGATTTTAGTTAATTTAAGTTATTTTCATGTTTTAATAATTGTATATATCATAAAAACGAATTTATATTACTAATATTATATTTTTTAGAAAATAAGTTGATTATTTTGTATTAGATTATTATCTTGAAAATATATTTTCCTATTATAAAATTTAAGTAAATTTGTTGATTGGTTTATAACTTCTTTGTAATTTTAAGATAATTTTATTTATTTTTCATGTTTTAAAAATTTTCTTACGTATTTATTATATATTAAAAAGAATAAATAATATATAATATTATATTTTTAGAAAATCAGATAATTCTTATGTATTATATTATTATCTTGAAAAAAAATTTTATTATAGAAATTAAAAAATAAGATATAAAAATTATAATTAAATTTAAATCAAGCAATACTGATTTGTCAATTTCTCCATGATTTAAGGTAATTTATCTTATTTTCCTGTTATTAATAGTATTGTATATAATTTATTAGAAATGAACTTAATTTAATATTATATTTTTAAAAATAAGATAGTTCTTATGTATTAGATTATTATCTTGAAAATATATTTTCAATTATAAAATTTAAGTGAATTTTTTTATTTGTAACTTCATAATTTAGGTACTTTTGTTTATTTTCAAGTTTTTAATAATTTCATATATAGTTTATTATATAATAGAAACAAAATTCTATTAAAATATTATATATTTAGGAAATAAGATATTTCTTATGTATGATATTGTTCTCTTGAAAATATATTTTTTACTACATAAATAAAAAATAAATATAAATCTATAAAATATTTGTATAAATTTATATTTGAAAAATATTCTGTTATGTGAGTATTGTCATTTACAATTAATTTCAAAACATAAATTATAATTTCTTATATTTTTTAAACTAATAAAATATAAACTAATAATTAATTGTAAGAAAATCATATCCGTATCTGCAAACAAAACAACTATTCTCGCCGTTTCATTTTAGTTGTCATTTTAGATTTTTGTATACAGATTAATGAAACATTTAATTTTATATATTTTCAAGATAAAAAACAGAATTATCTATACACCTAACCATTTTCAATCAATTAAAAATTAAAATATCATACAAAATTAATAAATTTTAATTCGAAATTATAAAACAATATTTCTTTTAAAACGAATTTTTTTTTAGAATAACAACTAATTCGAAACGGAAGGAGTAGTTAGTTTTACTGAAATCCAAACTAAAACTGTATGACGTTTTATTGTCTTAGTTATTGAGCCTATCGGGCCAGTAGTCATAGTTGTTGAACATATCGGCCCAATTATAAAGACACCGATCATATTATTTATTTTAAACTATATATGAGGGTGATTATTTTTTTTTTGAACGACTTGTGATTATTAAACTGACTGTTTAGTTCTTTTTTTCTTCTGAGAAAGGTTTTGCTATTTTCATATTTAACAATACTTTCGAATTTAGCCATTGAAAATAATACTTTAGGTATTTCTTTTTCGTTTTTGAAGAGCAATTATTAAATTTCTTAGCCACCGGAATTAAATGTATATATAGAAAAGATATATATGAAAGCAGTTAAAGCACGCGTACCAAACAGTCTAACGTCTGGTAGTGTGGAGATAGTGTGCATGCTTGGTGACACCATAAGGCATAACCGCATAAGATAACAAAAAGGGAATAGAAAACCCTAGAAACGATTATGCGAATATAAAAGGGAATAACGTAGGAAGAAATGAATACTGAGAAATATATATACGTCACGAAAATATAATGTTTATCCACACAAAAGAGACAACAACTTCGTTTAAGGGACAACAAGTGACAACAACTTCCATCATTTCATACTTTTGTCCACTCAAAAAGTTGTTGGCCGTGTTAGACTAGTGTAGTAAGTAATGGAGAAAAATAGAGTTTAAAATTTCAGCCACATAACGAGTTATAGAGACAAGCCAAAGACAAGACTGGATAGAGAGATGTAGAGAGAGAATTTGCTCTCTGACTCTCTTCCCGAGGTTGGTTTCAGATCTTTTTTCAAAATTCAAATTTTGAATCTTTGTCTGTAAACTACCTCTGGTAGTCAGTCTTCCTCCAACTCCGAAGCCACAATCTTCAGCCTTGCTCTCTCCACCACGCCAATCTAAACCTCTCGAAACCTTTTTCAAACAGAGCCTACATTGCTTCCCGAGTACCTATTTCAATCCTAAAGATAGATCTATCCCTCCGGAGAGCTCCAGCCTTGCATCGTCTACCCCTGATATAGGGTGTTTTGACAAGGGTGCAAGTGCAATCAATCTCTGGTTTCTAGCCTAGTGCTAAAAGCTCGTTTAAAAATTTACCGGTGGCAAGCCTTCCGGTGAGAGAGTTTTTGGTTTTTACAGACGCCATCTAACATCATCGCTACACTGTTGGAAGAGAGTCAAATCTCATATTGGGCCTTCCTAAAGTGGGTTCTGGTTTGCTGGCCCAATAAGAATTCAAACTTCGTTTTGCAACTTTAGTGCATCAGTGCGTGTGTTGTTGTGGAATGCAGACGATGAA